TATATTGAAAAGAATTGAAAACACGTATATGTATCCTAGTGTTTATTGCAACATAATTTATAATTGCCAAAAGGTTGAAACAAACCAAGTGTCCATCAATGGATAAACAAAATGTGTTTATATAGTGGAATATTTTTCATCACTAAAAACTAATGAAGTTCCTATATGTGCTACAACATGAATAAACCTTGAAAATATTATGCTTAATGAAGGAAGCCAGGTACAAAAGGACAAATAATAGGACTATTTTACTTACATGAGCTATCTGGAATAGGCAAATTCATAGAGACATAAAAGTAGATTATAGATTACCAGGTGCTGCAGGGTAGGAGGAGCATGGGAAGTTGTTATTGCTTGATGTTTAAAGAGTTTCTGTTTGGGTGATAAAAAGGTTTTGGAAATAAAAGGCAGTAATGGTTATACAACATTGTGGATGTACTTAATGCCACTGAATTGTGCTCTTAATGGTTAAAATGGCAAAAGTTATACGTATTTCCACAATAAAATTTATAAAAATACAACAGGGAGTTTTCTCTAAATCTAGTAGTAATCTTAGCTTCATTATACTCCCCATAGTATTGGATACACAGTACAATAAGGAAAGCATGTAGTATAACATAGAAGTAATTACCTAGAAAATAAAAGTAGGAAATTAAATTAATCACCAATAATTTTAGTGAAATATTAGACATATTTATTTATATGTGAAACAAAAGTGTCACAAAACAATGTACAGTTTGAAGAACACTAACCTCCTTCCTACCAGCTCTCAGTTCCTTCTCTTTCTCCTTGTGCTCACTTGGTTCTTACGGTGATTTTCTTAGAACCATTTTCAGGTTTGCATTTATATAAGGCAGCTATGGCACAGTGAGTTATCTGATAGGCATCTCTTTTATCTCATCTCTTTTACTAGCAACAAAAACCTCCATTTTACAGATGAAGATCCTGAAATTCAGAGAGGTAACTGACTCAACTCGGGATAGCACTGATCATATAGGGAGAGCCAGGATTGACTCTCAACTATTTGATATTACAGTCTTATGGCCCTTTATATCTGGATAGAGTGATATAAAGCAGATCACTTAGAAGGAGGTACTTACCGTACATTCTTTCCATTTTGTGTGTATTTTAGGTATATGGTTAAATCATACCTGTATATATAAGGTAGTTGTGATAGAGATTTTATTTTTCTTGATAGACTTATGTCAGATACTTTCAGGATACCTTTTCCATGACTAAGACTTCAGAACAGGCTACTTATGAGAATAGTTTCTCAAATTTTGGCATGTATAGATGTGCCCAGTTTATAAGTTAACTGAGATTCCATTTGCCTGTTCCAGTAATCCTGAGCTCCTTTAGCAGGAGTTATAGCATTTTACTTACTCTGATGTCAAGCACAGCGTCTGGTAAACAGTAAATTCCTGATAAAATGTTTGTGGAATGAACTAATTAATTAATGCATGCTCTGGTCAGTTGTTGGGATTTGGGTGTTCTTTTGATTTTCAAAGCCATGTTGCTTGAGAAAACTTGCCATTGAAATATTTCCTGTTTTGAAGGAATTAAAGTAACATCTTTTGTGTGTAACCATTAATGCATGTCTTATAGGCTGTGTTCCCATTTATCCCATCATTACAGTAAATTATCTCAGTAGTTACACCAAAGAACATTGATACAGTAAATATTTATTGAGTGTCCACTACCAGCAAGGCCCTGTATTTAGTAGGTACTATAGGAAATGGAAAGATGAATCAAACTTTCTTTTGCTTTCAAAAATATTGAGTTTTACAGAATACCCATTTACAATGAAATAATATATGAGAAAGTTCTTTCATAAATAGTAAAACCATGTATTAGTCACAGAACTTTTTACTGCTTTTGTAAGATAAATGCACTAACAATCAGTATCTGCCTTTTCTTGAGTATTCTGCCAGGGTTAGCTCAGGCTTCTTTACCTTTCTCTTGACGTGTTGCAGAACAGCTTTAGTTGGTCTTCTTAACCTCAGAATTTATCCTCCTGTCTGTCTTGCACAGTGCAACAAAACTTTTGTATCAGTACCTCCAAATGCATGTTGACTCCCCATATTTGCAAGGCATGACCTACTTTCGCAGCCTTGCTCATTTCTTTTCTTCACAGCCTTGTCTCTGCCCACTCCCAGCCCTGAGCACCCAAGATCTACGGCTCTAGGTCTCCCCATGAAGAGCTCTTCTCTTCACCTTCACATTGACACTCAGATCGTTACATTCCTGTTGCTTTGCATGGTCTGGGATTTTTTTCCTGAAATGATCATTACCCCCTTTTCTGGTATAATCTCATTCATCCTTCAGGTCCTAGCATAAATGTCATCAGTTTAATAAAACTTTTTTTTTTACCTCCTTTCCTCCATAGGCTGAATTATGGTTTTTCTCCTTGTATTTTTATAGTAGTTTATATTAATATCAGTTACTTAGTTTGTAGATAATTCACTGACTGCTTGATTACATGACACACACACTCTCTCTCTCTCTCTCTCCCTCTCTCTCTCTCTCTCTCTCTCTGAATTTCTTAGCGCTGAGACTTTGCCTTCCCAGTACTTTACATGCTCAGTAAATATCTGGTGTAGTACTCCAGAAAGAATTTTATACATAAAATAGTTGGACATATTTAAATATTAGGTCAGGGACAGTTGGTGAGGGTGTAATTTGAGTACAAATAATGAAGCTAGGTGATTTATAATTCTCAGTCTGGCCTTTGTCTATACCTCCATTAGTGACAACTGACCTGATTGGTATCTTAAATATACACTGATTTAACCTTAAATAACTAAAGATAGTAATTCCTATATCTCTCATTCCTTGGCTAACGTGCATACCTTTCTGAAGACAGCAGTACATTCATCTAACACTTGTGAGAGTTGACTTAAATAAGCAGTTAGAACACTACTTGACACACAGTGAACGTGCAGTGAATGCAACTATTATCATTCCTGTAAGAATTTATAATATTCTTTGAGATGTGCTGGTTAGAGAAATAATTAGTGGTTAATGTAAAAGAATTTTTAAAATTAAGATAAAGCATTCTTTTTGCACATCTTTGATTTATTCATCAGGTATTTGTTTTGTACTCGCTCTACGTCTCATACTGTTTCACAGACACAGCCCTTGACCTGTCACTGCTTTACCATAAAGTTCTTCTTGGCTCAGATTTGAAAAGATCTGGTGGAAGGATCTGTCAGTCGGGAGTCTCAGCTCAGTAACTTTGAGCAAGGCACTTCTTAGTTGTCTAATAAATGCCTCAAGCTCATTAGGTACAAAAGAGATCTCTTGTTAACTCCCTTCTCTCAGTTAAAGTCGAAACACTTTTATTTTTCCTTTTGTTCAAGCCAAGGAAACTAGGTGTCCCCTTCTGGTTTTCTTTCTAGTCACCCTCTATCAACTTCTGTTCTATCAAAAGTCCTGATGATTCTGCTTTCAAAATAACTGTCTACTTCTTTCTATTCTCACTCCTGCCAGCATGTAGTTCATGTTGTCATTATATCTTACCTAAAATTGGTTTCTTAGTTTCCATTATTTCTCCTCCTCAATCCATTTTTTACATAGCAGCCATTTTTGAAGCATAAATCATAAATTCCTGCATCTAAAATTCTTCATTAACCTCCCATCATAGCTGAAATAAAATCTCAGTTCTTTACCCTGGCCTGTGTAACTTGGCCCTTGCTTACCTCTTTAACCTTATCTGTTGCTACTTTCCTCATTCTGTCTGCTTCATTTACACTGACTGATCTTTTTTGTTTTTCTAATAATGCCAAATCTAAAGACCTTTTTGCTAGCCTGTGTCTTCTGCCTGGAACAGTAACATCACTACTCCAGATATTCTTGTGGCTCATTTCTGTCTTCTGTCTCAGCTTTTTGGGTCAAACGTCACTTTTAAAAATGAGGTTTTCCCTCAGGACCCAATGCAGAATAACACTCAAATTATCACATTATTTTATTTTCAACATAGTATTTGTCTTTCCTTGAAATTTTTAAATGTTTACCTGTTGGTCACCTCTCAGAATGTAAGCTTCACAATGGCAGGTCGTCTGTCTTCCCCCACACTAGTTCCTGCCATAGGGTAGCCACTCGGTAAATATTTGTGGACTCACTGGATAAATGAATCTCTGAATTTCATGTTTCTCAGTTGTAAAATAAAAATTTCTATCTAAATGATATCCAAGGACTCTCCCTGTCAAAGATAAACAAAGCCAGGGACTAAGGCAACAAAGACAGATTTTATTGAAGTTGCTAGGTACTTGATGTCATTTTTCACATGCCTATTTCATACCTTTTAAGATCAGTATTATTCTGGCTCCTCTTTTATTCCTGAAGAAACTGGCTCCCAGAGGTGAGAGAGAACCCATGGAATTTCTCCTGATGAGTCCCTCCCTCCCTGTTGTTGAGTAGGGTGGTTATCCAAGTCTCCTTTCCTGAGCTTGTTAGGTGGCTCTGCTTTCCCTGGAATGCTTATATATGGAGAGAAGCCTGGAAATTTAAGTTCACGCTGTATTACAGAAGGTCTTCAATGCCGCAGAGTGAAACCTTTACTCATAAATAAGAGAACATTAAGATGGAGAATGGTTTGATTTAAAATATACTTACAATTTGGCATGTTTTTAATATACTTTTCTTGTCACCATAGAGATGAGTACACTATTGTGCTTGCCCTCTAGGAACTTCCAGTTCATGTGGAGAGTAGGAATCTATAATTATTTGCATTTAGGAGAATGTACTACAAAAATGTGTATAAAATTTTCGAGAGCAGAGGAGAGATCTGCAGAGATCAGTACTTAAATTCAGTCAGCAGTCAATAATAAACATTTCTGGCATATTTAAGTAGTATGCATTTTAGGGCAGAATTGGATTGGATTATTATGAACTTCTTCCTTTATAAATATATATTATCAAGAACAGTTAATGTAATTATACAACAAAGCTATCTATATAAATAAAACTTTATGTATTAAGACACTAACTTTCTCTAACAGATATGCCAAGAATTTAATAGCACCTGGGCATGGGAAATGGAGAAGAAAGGCTATCTTGAAATGAGTGTTGAATGCAAATTAGCACTCCTAAAGGTAATAAAAGTTAATTATTTGTTACAATTATTTTAATTTAAAAATTCACTTTTGACTCCTGGTTGAGTTGGGAAAATAACTGGAAAGTAGACATTTCTATTGTTATTGGAAAAGGACTTATTTTCTTATATTTTTTTTGCGACAGAACAGTCTACTCTTTATTTATTATTTTTTTATTTTTTATTGACTTTAGAGAGAGAGAGAGAAGGGGGCGGAGAGAGAAACATCGATTTGTTATTCTACTTATTTATGCATTCATTGGTTGATTCTTTTATGTACCTTGACCCGGGATCTAGCCACACCTTGGTGTATTGGGATGGTGTGCTAACCAACTGAGCTATCTGGCCATGGCAAAAACAGTCCATTCTTTAAATTACTGCTTTTGATTGTGTTTTAATATACAAGTATATCTAAATTTAATGATCTGTGCTTCTTATAGGGACTGAGGTAGAATTGGGCAGGCAGTTTCCCCAAATTAATTTTATTCATCATTTTTAGCCTTCACAATCACTACTAAAACATACTGCGTACTGTGCTTAATCTGATTTACTAAATTAGTCATTTGATAGTTTTCAGATGACTTAGGAACATGCCACATAGCCAAAGCAACTAGATTAAAATAGGTCTCCTCAAAGTAGATTTATTTTCAAATTTGAGTTTCCTTTTCTCTTCCTACCCATTTCAGAGTGTTAGCCCTAGTATAAGCAAGGTGGCCAGCATAATGAAGGAAAAACATACTTTTCACAGAAGAGAGGCTACTGGCCTAGATAACAGAGGCGAAGACAAAGACACTGATAGGAATTTCAAGTATTATTTGCCTAGGCAGAGAGGCTCAGGGAAGAAAGCTGACTTTCTCCCCAATCCTGTATAGAAATGTATAACAAAAAGTCCAGTCAGTTCCTCATTTAGTCATGTGGGTATCTTTTTATTAAGGTAATTCTCTAGAAACAGCTATCAATGAGACTACCTTTCTTGAAAATTGCATCTATCTCAGGCTTTCAAAGACAGGTAGCCATTTTGAGAATGTTGTTCATTTAAAAACTTTTGAGAGAAGGAATCATTGAAAATTTTATGTGATGAGACAATATGGGTGACTTACTGCAGACTCACTACTGTTGAAATATAACTTGATTTTTGTGTTATTCGCTCTGTGAAACTTGTAAATTTATGTAATACTAAAATAAAATGTTAACTTAAAATTTATCTTTTTAAATTGGTTGTTCTAAGCAAATTATAAAATGGGGGATGGTAAAAGATTAATGAACCATATGTGTTCTTTTTGCTTCTGTTCCTGAATCAGTTCTAAGGTTGAACATATCACACTTACTGTAATGGAGAAACGTTTATGGTGGGGTATTTTAAGCGATGCTATGACTATTTTCCAGTACCTCTGTGAGTGTCAGTTTGATGACAATCTCAAATTCAAGAATATAATTAATGAGGAAGATGCCGATACCATGCGTCTCCAGCCAATTGGCCGAGACAAGGATGGCCTCATGTACTGGTACCAGCTGGATCAAGACCACAATGTCAGAATGTACATAGAAGAACAAGATGATCAAGATGGCTCATCATGGAAATGCATTGTCAGGTATCTTTTATTAGAATCTTTTTACCTTTATTTGTATTTTGCTTACTGTGATTTCTTCTACTCAGATTCCATCTCTGAGGCTGATGCAGTTTTATTTTTGTGGGGTTGGGGGATTTCCAGGACCTAGCCTAGTGCCCTGCACAAGACTCGCACTAGGGGGTCCTTATAGCCCGCACTTCACTCCTTATTTGTCAGGTAAATAAATATATTCAGCAGTGTGGTTCATATCAGAACATATATTTTGTACTTCAGGAAGTCACACTCTAACAAGTAATAATCCATTGATAATATGTACCAAAAAACCCACTGTTAGACAAAAATATTTTTAAAAATCATTTGGTTCTTATTTAGATAATAGTTTTCTATTAGGACTTTCTGTTTATTCCTCATTACTTTAACTTGGTCAATTTGTCTTGATGCTTTAGTATATTAATTTTTACTGTGTGTGCATTTTTTTCCTGGAGTTATAAAGAAATCTGAGGAACATCGTGCTTATTTGTCATAATCTTTTTTTAAAATCTTAAGTTGTTTGTATTAACAGATATATTTGAATGGAAACATTTGATGTAAAATCTTGAAATACAATTTTTAAAAACATCAAATGACACTGAGGCTGTTATTCAGAATCTTTGTGTCTCTAATATTCTGTTTTACAACTTATTTAGAATTTCTTCCATTATTAATCCTCATGGTTTTTATTAATTTAGGAAGTATGAGGATTTATAGCTAAAGTAGGGAGACTTAATAGATATATAACAATTGGCTTATGAAATACTCTTTTGTCTTTAACTCATCTGTTTTTTCTTATTTAGAATTTAGCAGATTTTTATTAATGATTACTTACTAAAGTTTTGAAGAGATAATCTGTAGAAATTTAGAATATTTGTTTGGGTCATGGAAGCTCAACTTTCGTTCCCTAAGAATAAAAGTGAATTTAATGAGCTCGCTGGTGATTGTTTATAAGTACCTTTTTTTCATATTATAATATGGTCCTTCGTGTAGTTAATTTACTAAATGGAAATAAACAAAATAGTACTCAAATAAAATTTGCTCACCATCTCTCACTGTGAATAAATTGAGTGAGGTTCTGTTCATGACGTTTTACCGCCAGTTCTGTTGTTTCCTACATGAAATACACAAATATCTTTTCATATTCGTTTAAGAGATACTTGCTCACCCTAGCTGGCGTAGCTCAGTGAATTGAGCGTGGGTTGCAAACCAAAGTGTCGCAGGTTCAATTCCCAGCCAGGGTACATGCCTGGGTTGCAGGCCATAACCCCCAGCAACAACACATTGATGTCTCTCTCTCTCTCTCTCTCTCTCGCTCTCTCTCTTCCCCTCCTTCCCTTCTCTCTCTAAAAATAAATAAATAAAATCTTTTAAAAAAAGATACTTTCTCATACTTTGTAGATGATGAAAATATGACAGAAAAATAATTACGATTATTATTGATTAGTCATATGCAAAAATATCTTGTACACTGTTTTAAGTATATTGTACTCTAATGTGAGATGTGAGAGAAAGACCATAGATTTTAGAATTAACAAGTGTGTTTGAATCTGTGCTGTGTTTCTTGGTGTACCTTTGGTAGGCTGATGGCTTATCGGTAATTTTTCTATACTCTTTTCATGCACTTTAAAGTGAGGGTGATAACACTTCCCCAATATACATGTGAGAAGTATATTAGAAATCATACTAGCACTATAGCTAATGTTCAGTAAAATTCTGTATCGTTTCTCCCAATCTTAGTAACTATTGGCATTTCTTACATTTCTAACCCAAGGATTTAAACACTTTCTTCATAAAAGAAATATTCATCAGCAAAAAGAGGAAAGGGCAAAATTCCATTGGTGTGTATTTTACCTCTTCTCATCCTTGATCATTCTTCCATGTTTTATTCCCTGTACTTCTGCTTTTTTAAAAAATCATCTTTCCATGTACAAAAAAAATCTGTTTATGATAAACATAAAATGGTACATGTGGCATTTGTTCAGAAGCAAATGCGTATATAGAATATTGGGACACAGTTTTCTCATGTTAATCACAAATTTTTTTTAGAGAACTTGGTGCCAAGTTACTTTTAGCCTTTTTGTAGAACATTTATGAACATGTGAATTCCTGTTGGCAACACACCGGGCAGCTTTTCCGAGCTATGTAGCATTATTTAAAGCCAAATTCTAAACACCTGCTTGTCACACGAATGTTTCCTTATTTCATTAAATTAATAAATTTATATTGTGAATATAAATTTGTGTAATAGGGAGTATGGGAGAAAACTCTGTATCTTCCTCTCAATTTTGCTGTGAACATAAAACTACTCTAAAAAAAGTCTTTCAAAAAAATTGTAATACCATAGCATCACCACAGCCTTAAAACATTTATTAAATAGCCGTTTCTATTTCTGTCTCTTATAAAATTTATAATATACATATATATGATGTGGATAGATAAGGAAGTGTTCATGATAAATAATGATATTTTAAGGGTAAATAAGATTTACTTGCAAAAGAGTAAAACTAGCCAAATTTCATCGAACCATATGAAATTGACAGTATTTGTTTATGATGTTTAACCTTTAAAAATGGTAATTTTGTACTTTTTTTTTCTTTTAGTTTTATTTTGTATTGGTTTCAGGTGTACTTCTTGGTGGTTAGGCAGTCGTCTGAAGTCCCCTTGATATTTCCCAAGTGGCACCATACATAGGTATTGTAGTTTTGTATAGTTTAAGCAAGTGTCCAGTAGGTTTCAAAGCCAAAAATATTTAAGCTCTAGCCAGTGTCCAATTATTCTAATAATGTTCAAATAATAATTGCCATGGTAGAGTAGTATTTGTTACAGCTATTTCATCTCTGTTTTAGGTCTAAATGAAAGTATAAAAAAACTATTTTTTATATCTGATCAAATAATCTTGTGAAAGTGATATTAATGTACACCAGGGCTATGTCAAGAGAATTTCATTAAGAATAAAAAAGATAAGCAAAAAATTGTGAATACCACAAAGTGGTAGTATTTGGTTATTAATATTAATTGAGAGAATTTTAGACCAGAATCTATTAGGTGATTCCTCAAGATTAGAGAGAGTCTCCTGAAAGTGCTTTTATGTCATGTCTTCTCAGGAAGATAACATTGTATGCAGACTGCTACATGGTTACTTGATAGACAGAAACATATGGCCAATGTTCACATGAAAAAGTATTGTTCATCAGAAAATTCTCAATTTTTATCATAATGAGATTGTAGAGGAGGAAAACTTTTACCTTTTTACTCCTAGGTTCTCTGGATGGTCTAATAATTAAGTTCACATAAGACATTAGCAGTAGGGGGAAAAAAGCAAATTTAATTTTTTTGTTTACCAAACCCCAAAGTAAGATATGAGGCTCAAAACCAAATTAAGGAACTTTTATATGTTTTAGAAAAAGAAACAATATACTTGTGAACACCTGACAAGACAAAGAAGTCTGGGCTTGGGACGGTGAATCCGTGAGGAAGTAACCAGGCTTCTTCACACAGCCTTCTCAGCCTCGATTCCCTCTCTGGCGATAGGCACCCCTTCTTTGCATAGGCAGGGAACCTTCACATCGGAGATTTATTTCTTCCTTTCAGGGGTACACAGGACTGTCAGAGTGTCCTTCTTGCACCAGCTATTTCTCATGTCATTTCAATTTAAAATAATTTGGTACAGTATTTTGGTAAAATAATGCCACCATTTTGGTGGCATATTCTGTTCCTTTTCAAGATACCACTTTACCTCCACTAGAATAAGTAAAATAAAAATAACTTACAACACCAAATGTTAGCAAGAATGTGGATTAACCTGAACTCTCATACCTTGCTGGTAGGTATGTTAAAAGGTATAACCACTTTGGGTGACAGTTTGGTGGTTTCTTCGAGTGTTAAACTGTTACTCTATAACCCAGCCTTAGTGAAATGGAAATGTGTTTACAAAAAGCCTTCTATAATAATGTTTGTAGCTTCTTTATTTATAATAGCTTTCATACATGTATTGCTACTAAGCAATAAAGAGAAATTACCTAGGATGCGTGCAACTATATGTATTTGTCTCAAAGGCATTATGCTTCATGAAAAAAGCCCAAAAGTTCACATTGTTTGATTCCATTTATTATTAGTTTGGAATAAACTAAACTGATCTCATTTCTGCTTCCTTTTGGTGGAGGTGAGGGATTGAGTAGGACAGGACAGGAGGGAATTTTCTGTTCTGGGAGTAATATTCCTTATCTTGATAGAGATGTGGATTACATGGGTGTATGCATTTGTCAAAACTGCATTTGATGAGCTGAAAATGCTTAAGATACATTCATTTCAAAGTATGTAGATTATACTTCAAAAATATTTTTAAAATTTGTAATTGACATTTTCAAAAAGCCGAATTCTAATGAGTGTGGTTTTCATGTACTTATAAACACTGTCAAGACATTCCTAAACCATATGCTGCTAATATAGCAGAGTGATCAAGAAGATGGTCTCTGAAGTCAGACTGTCTGTAAATTCGATTCTGCCTTTAATATGTACTAATTGTGACAGTACGCAAATACTGTACCTGTCTGTGTCTCCTCACTTTCCTCATTCTAAAACGGGGGTAATGACAGTACCTAGGTTATACTGAAATTATATGAACTAATTTATGTAAAACTCTTGATGTTCCTGAAATATAGTAATCACTGATGTCAACTTATGTTATTAATACCACTGCTTTTGATACTACTCATTAATACCCTACTTCAGCTTCATGGCTCTCACATTCAATTATATTTATTTTTTGTCTCCTTGGTAATTTGGAATTATATGAAAAAGATGGAATATTATTGGTGGACCCTGGAATCTTACCTTACAAATATTTACTAAAGACTGTTCTGGAGATGCAGAGACATGATGCTATTTCTTAAGAGGCTCTCCATATTGTGAGAGAGAGATACGGGGAAATAGTGAATGATAAATCACTGCTATACATGTCATCCATGATGGCGATTGTCCCTGTGTGCTATGGAGGAACCAGATATTTAACTCATACTTGGCTTTGCTTCATTTTGTCTTTTTGTTTGGTTTGGTTTTTTAAATTGAATTGGACTGTCAGCTCAGTTGCCTCTGGAAGGTTTAATCCCTGCCACTAACTTAAATTCTGAACAACTCTTAGACTTGTTAGGAATTCTTGAGAAAAATTATATTCTACAATATAATAATTAGGATGATATCCTCCATTTCACCAACATCTAGATTAACTTCCAATACAGACAGGAAAATGCAAGAGTTTAGAATTGTTAAGTCAGAATCAGTCAGCCTGCCTCAAATTGAGCTGCTGCTGCTTTTTTTAAGGTTTTATTTATTTATTTTTAAGGAGAAGGGAAGGGAGAGAGAAAGAGAAGCATCAATGTGTGGTTGCCTCTCATGTGGCCCCCACTGGGGACCTGGGCTTGCAACCCAGGTATGTGCCCTGACTGGGAATCGAACCGGCAACCATTTGCTTCACAGTCCAGTGCTCAATCCACTGAGCCACACCAGCCAGGGTTCAAATTGAGCTTCTTAACCCTTTCCACCTTAACATGTTTCCCCCATCTCTGTTAATAGCAACCAAAGTTTTCCAGTGTTTGAATCCAAGGTCTTACAGGCACATCCTTGAATTTTCCTTCTCTCATTTTATGTGCACTCTATTAACAAATCCAGTCAGCTCTCTATGCAAGATGTCTCTAGTGTTTGATCATTCCTCATCCCCTTCATATCTACATTCTTGTCCAAATAACTATTTTTTAAAAATTCAGTTTGGTAATTTTTAGGATATTCACAAAATTGTATGGCCATCACCACCATAACTCTGGGACATTTTTCTCACCCCACAAAGAAACACTAGTAGTTATTCACCATTCTCCCGTTCCCAGCCCATGGCAGGCACTAGCCTACTTTTTGTTTCTGTAATTGGCCTATTCCAGGCATTTCATATGTATAGATTCATACAACATGTGGTCTTTGTGTCTGGCTTCCTTCAGATAGCACAGTGTTTTCAAAGTTCATGTATTTACTAAGAATCAGTATTTCATTCCTTTTTGTAGGTAAGTAATAGTCCCTTGGGTGGATATACTGTATTTGTTTATTCATGCTACCCTTGTCTTTCAAAGAATAATTTGAGTTAGCCGGGGGAACACATTCCGGGCTAAGAGAACAGAAGTGCACATGCCTGACATAATAGAGCATGGTACTTTGGAGGGACGTAACTGATTTAATATGCCTTAGTGAAGAAATGTTTTAAGAGAAAAGAGTACAGTGAAGGAAGGGAGGGAAAAGAAATGATTGTTTTTAGAGTCCATAGTCTACTCTAAAAGTTCCTAGAGATAATTGTAAAGAGTTGCATATAATTTGCATATATGTATATTTATAAAAATTCCCTAACTAGTTCAAATTTATGATTTTTTAAAAGTATTTTTTAGCGAGAGAGAAAGAGAGAAACAGTGATCAGTTACCTCTTGTAGGTGCCCTGACAGGGTACTAAACCCACAACCCACACATGTGCACTGACTGGGAATCAAAACAGCAACCCTTAGCTTTTCAGGACAATGCCCCACTGAGCCACACTAGTCAGGGCCAAATTTAAGACTTTAAAAAAACTACTTAGCATACTAAATGTAATTATGGTAAAATAGGCAAAATCCAGATGGATGGATTTTGTTTTCATATAATAATGACTACATAGGCTTGTATTTTAACACAGTAGTCAGGTTAAAAGTCTTTTAGGAAGTTCTTAGCAAATATTTCTGCTATCTTCCTTTGTTGCTTAGAGTAGTGGAAATAACTGACCTGGATTTTCTAGCAATGTTGGCTATCTTCTAATGTTTGGAAGCTTTTTGAAATAGTATTGTGAAAAACTTCAATATATTCTGCATTTCCCAGCATGACTGAAAAAAATAATAGGTTGAGGCACTTACTACATATGAGATTCTTAATGGAATATGAGAAGTAATAACATTAAGTGGATAGAGCCTCAGGTTAGAAGCAGGTTGGTATAATGAAGTCAAGGTAGGAACTTTGCCAAAAATAAATTTATTTTGTGTCATTAGGTTTTAATCTTTTTGTATAGTGGAGGCATTATCAGACAGGATCTTTAAAGAGCATGTAATCTGACCTTCTACTATTAGAGAATTAAAATTCTAAACTGTTGATTTTATTAGGTATGCTTATATTTATAATATGTATAAATCTGAGTGTTCAGTCCCATCCATACACAATGGCAAAATGGTTGCCATTTTAATTTCTGGAGCATGTCCATCAGTGCAATTTCATTACTTTCCTTAGGAAACCAATTTAATAATACTCAAGAGAATCCAGTCTTATTTTATAGATAAGGAAGCTGAGGCCTAGTGGAAGATATATGACCTGTCTAGAGGCACATAGCCATCTAGTTAGGAACAGGGATTTTATTCATTTATTAAACATTTTTTAGAGCCTACTTCGTGGGGCAGTGCCCCTGCTCTCAAGCAGTCCAGTTTAGCTGGAATGAAGGTGGAAAGGGATGGGAGTGAACAGGGCGTGTGTGTCATGACAGGTACGAAAACAAGTGATTTCATCTTAGTACTGATTGTACAGAATTAGAAGTGCATACAGAGTTCTTTGAGAACACAGATAGGAAGCTCATGGTACTAATTAATTAACTCAGTGGCAGAAATAGAACTACGTTTTCCAACTCTTTGTACGGGGTTTCTTTTTTGTCTTCACTGTTATATGCTACCAATTTGAACAGGAAAAATATCCAACTGAGATTTCGTGTTTGTAATTGACATTTAAGGTGAACATATCACATCTCCAGTTTTGGTAGTAAAAATAGAGAATATAGCCTTGGCTGTTGTGGCTCAGTGAATTGAGCCACCAGCCTGCGAACCAGAAGGTTGCCTGTTCAATTCCCAATCAGGGTACATGCCTGGGTTTTGGGCCAGGTCCCCACTGGGGGGTGGATGAGAGGAAACCACATATTGATGTTTCTCTTCCTCTCTTTCTCCCTTCCTTCCCTTCTCTAAAAATAAATAAATAAAATCCTGTAAAAATATTAAAAAAATACAGAGAATATGTAGATTAGAACCTTATTTATTTGGGATTTTCTTGTATTTTTGGTTAAAAATGAATTCCCTTCCTGTGATTGTAACTATAATTAACAAAACAACATCGGTAATCTAAATTCTTAGGTTTTTCAAAATGTGTTATTACAGTTGACTTTCTGCCATAATTACTCAAAGATCTGGATCATAATTTTGTAACAATATCAAATGTTATTGTCTCTGTAGGTGGAAAAGAGTTCTTATTTCAAGTGAATCAAGAACTTGAATCATTCTGTTAAAAAGAAATGGTACTTCAAGCAAGTTTTACATTGATTTTGTACTCCTTAGATTGCATACTACTTTTAAAATTATCAAACTTTCATTGTTGTTTAATTTCTTCCTAATTTATTCTTTTCAGCCAGACTTTGCATTGCCATTCTAATCAATACAGAGAATAATGTAAGATTCCCTTTGGAGAATAGTATATTTTAGTACATTTTCATTTCTATACTTATTTTAAAATTCAAAATTAATTCAGTTTAGCTGTACCAGTGATCTGGTTATTCTTAGTGTTTTTCTTTCTAAATTTTAATTTCTATTATTATTCTGAAAGCTCTTCAGAAGAGAAGAAAGATTTTTATGATGTCTTATTTTTTCCCTTGTTTAGAAATCGAAACGAGTTGGCTGAGACCCTTGCACTCCTGAAAGCACAGATCGATCCCGTACTGTTGAAAAACTCTAGTCAACAAGACAACTCTCCCCGGGAAAGTCCCAGCTTAGAAGAAGAGGAGACTAAAAAGGAGGAAGAAACACCTAAACAAGGTTTTTTTTTTGTGTGTTTTGTTTTGTAATTTCTTCTCTCTTCTTCACTCCTCTTTCCAAGTATTTAAAGTAGAATTTTCTCAATTTGAAAATTTGTTGGGCTTCCTGTAAAAGGAGGTTGATCTTTATTTCAGTTAATGGGGGGAAAGCAAGAAGAAAATTGAGTACTTTTTCTTTTATATTGGACATTTAAAAGATTTAAGTGAAAATATTCAAATCATAAAAACTATCTTTTACTGATTTAAGAATATGAAGAGACTCAGCAAACTCTTTTATTGTGGTAAAATATATACAACTTAAAATTTATTTATTTCTTTTTTAAGGATTTTATTTATTTATTTTTAGAGAGTGAAGGGAGGGAGATAGAGAGAGAGAGAGAGAGAAACATCAATGTGCAGTTGCTGAGGGCCGTGGCCTGCAACCCAGGCATGTGCCCTGACTGGGAATGGAACCTGCTATGCTTTGGTTCACAGCCCGCGCTCAATCCACTGAGCTACGCCAGCCAGGGCAAAAATTTATTATTTTAACCATTTTTAAGCGTCCAACTCTGAAGCAGAAAGGACACTCACATTGTTTTGCAGCCATCACCACCATCCATCTCCATAGTCATTGCTCTCAACTAAAACTCGACCCGTTGAACACACACTCATTCTTCCCGCCCCCAGCCCCTGGAAGCCACTTGTTCTACTTTCTGTCTCTATGAATTCGACTAAGTCTAGGGTCCTTTGATCAGAGAATTCATACAATATTTGTCTGTATGTGACTGGCTTATTTCACTGAGCATAATCTCTTCAATGTTCATGTTGTAGCAGGTTAGAATTCCCCTCCTCTTTAAGACTGAATAATATTTTATTGTGTGTGTATATGTGTATTTACCACATTTTTTTTTTATTCATCTGTCAGTGGGCACTTTCTTGAATATTATGAATACTGCCATGCACATGGGTATACAAAGATCTGTTCAAGTTACTGCTTTCACTTCTTTTGGGTATATACCCAGAAGTGGTATTGCTGGATGGTATGGGAGTTCTATTTTTAATTTTTGGAGAATCCACCATGCCATTTTTTTACAGCCTCTGCACATTTTACATTCTTACCCATCCCTTGTTTGTGCTTTTGTCTGTTTAATTTTTTATAGTAGCCATTCTAGTGAATGTGAAGTGGTATTGGGGTTTTTCCAGTGGGGTTTTTTGTCTGTTTTGTTTTGCTTTGTTTGTTTTGGTTTTATCTAACAAACTCTTTAAGTCTACAATAATTATAATTATTAAACCTGATTTTCAGACTGAGTTTCTAATTCACTTAACTAAGCAGATCAAACCCTAACCTTCTAGAAGACAGAACCAAGTCCTAACCTTTCCAGAAGGAAAAAAACAATTGAAATTTTGTCTAGCATCTTTTTAGTTAATACGTTTTGGTGGATAACATACCTTAAACAGCAGGGGAAGGACATTGCTCTCCTTGTCATGCTTTCTTCCTCTGCTTTTAGTTTTTTTCTACTGTTTTGACGAGAACCTGAAAGCAGTGTGTTCTTGCCTTGTTTGCTGCTTTGAGAAAACTGTTCATAATATCATCCACTAGCTGTAAGCATTACTTGAAAACAAATCATTGTACCCTGTAGTGTAGGTTATAATGTTTCTAAAAACTAAGCATTGCTTTTAGTAAAAATCCTAGTTGTTTTCCGTTGGCCCATGTTTATAGAATTCAGTAGCTGTGGTGGTTTTATTTGTAAGCCTTATTTCTGATTTGAAAAATTCTTTTCTTCATGTTAAAATTCAGTTAGTAGGATATTTTAGTAAAGCTTTTTTTAAAGTAGTCTAAACTCCCTATTGAATCTCTAGACTTTTAAAATTAGCACTTCTTAAGGATTACTTCTGAGTTTAGACTCAATAATTGTTCATTTGGTCACTTAATTTGGTTATTCCTGTATTTATTTATTTTCATACACAATTAAAGTTAAGACCAGATAGAATATAAATTGGAAAAAGAGGGGAAGACAATAGAGAAATTTAAGAGGCAATTAATTATTCCTATTAGGTGAACTTAAATTTCACATTCATCTTGAAGGGAGACTCGTTGTGTAGCTTAAATTACAAAGAAAAGCAAAATGAACAATTTCCTTGGTAAAGTAAAGCTCTTCCGAGTATTTAATTCTAAAATTTCATTGTAGAGTGTTACAGTGGAGGAAGGCAAATTTCAACAATAAAAGCAACTAATATTTAGTGGGCACATTCTCTTTCCTTTAGCCTGCTGAGTGTTGCACATGCATTTTCGTTTAATCCTCATAGCTCTTGGAGGTGACTGCTCTTAACTATTTTAATTTTACAGATGAAGGAATTGGGAAGTTTATAAATTCTATGTCTTAATAATAATAAAGTATAAGAGCCTAGATTTTGAACCCTGATCTTTGTAATGTCTATGTGCTTTATCTAGAGTGATCTGGAACTGCACTTTACAAATTTTGGTAGGCTTCCTGTTATGTGTATGGCTGATTTACCATTTTAACAGGGACCTAGATGATGTGGTGCTGGTCAGAGGACCACATCTTGAGTAGCAAGGTTATAGAGGCTGTCTCCTCCTAAGCTTGGAAACAAACACAGCTTTTTCATACAGCTGTTTCTGAAAATATTCCTCACTTAATGCTGAGGTTATAATACTTAGTACAAGTAAGAGACAGTCTGTGGGGGAGGACATCTCTTGAAATCAACTATAGGAGGAGAAGCAAGACATTTAATCTTATTTGTTTTTCTCTTCTCTTTTAAATAGTGTTTATTTTGTTTCTTTTACTCTAAAAGCAAAGTGTTTCTTATTCATTCATTTAACAAATACTTAATATTTAATACACTTAATATGTGCCAAATGTGATTTTAGGCATGGGAGTTCAGTTTAAACAAAGCGGATTAAAATCCTTGCTTTTGTGAGGCCTACACTAGAGTGGATGGAAAAAAACTAACATTGTCAATAGTCATAAAAACTCTTGTCATATAATCTTTGCAGCCTTTTATTAGGTAGTACATTGCTATTTCATTTTTTCAGCTGAGAGAAGTGAGACAAGGAGAGGTTTAAGTAACTTCTCCAGGGACAGCCTGTTAGTGACACACCCAGTGTTCAAACCTGGGCAGTCTCTTGTCTTTCTCTGGAGTCTGTGCACTTTTCATGCTGTGCTCACACATTGTTTGGAGGAGTAGACATTTTTATTCAGCCCCCAAAGCCCTACCTATCCCTGACTCCATCCTCTCAGGTGTGGTTATTGTGTTCTGTTTCATAGGAAGACCAAATAAATGTGATTCTGGTTTGTCATTTTTATTACTCTCATATATAAACAAACATTACCTATCGGTGGGGAGCTTGAAAGCTGTAAACAGTGTTAGAAAATAACCAGTGTATTAGAATAGTAAGGCAAAACGTGACAGAAGTATGATTGGCTATTTGGAAATCAGACAAGAAGGACAAATAAATAGAAAGTGGAGAAAGAATAAAATAGCCACTCTTATTCTTACAGTTAAAATGGATTTTTCTTTAATGATTAAATGGTCATGCTTTACCTAACCTTAGGAGATAAAAAGGGATGACTCAGCCCATAATACCAAAAGATTATCTTTTGTGTATGGGGTTCCAAGGAGAAATGCATTATCTATAAAAGTGCTCCCCACCAATGGCATCATATGGCTTAAAAAGTTCACTAAAAAGTTAAATTGACTTCCATTTCAAAGATAATTAGACTTGCCTTCTGAAAAAGTCTGAATTTCTTAAACTAGCACCAGAATCTCATAGACTGTCTTCAGTCTATTTGTCTGGTCTTCCCTCCTAATGTTTCCTTACATGACCACTGGTTCCAGATTATCTAGATGCCTTTATTTACTCCATTTGTCTCGGGCATTCCCTCCGAGTCTTAATCATGCACTTACATCCCTGAAGTCCTGTCCTTCACTGTGGAAATTCTAGGGCCGTGTGGAGTCCCATCTTGACCCCTTTTCTAAGTTCCACTAGCAGTTCATTAAGGACTGTTTTTATCCCACTCATATTAGGATCAGTCATACTACCAAGCTTGAAGCTCTCAAATACTTGTTGAATTGTTATTGGACTATAGTAAATTTTGAAGTGCATATTAAGTATCATTTAAGGCCTTCTCTGTCTGAGATACAGGATATCATCTCTAGTGGTAGTCTACCTGGAAGTTACTGTGCTTATAGAACACCATGAAATTCAATGTATGTTTTCACTCCAATATTAGATAGTGTATTTTAATTTAGAAGGGACTTGAAACTTAAGAGGGACTTTTATGGGGGAAAACAAAGTTGGGGAAAATCCTAACCTTTTAGTTTTATTATGCTAATTAGAAAAAGACTTGTCTTTTGTTAATTTTTATAGTCATACACTTTTCTACATTAAGAATGAGAAAAGAGTACCATTTGAGAATATCTAGTAGGGAATAGAAGTTGTATATATACTGGTAGCTTGAAACTTAATTTAACCTGCAAACATAATTTATTTCAGTCTGTACGGTGCTTCTTTGTTTAAAAAAAAAAAGATGAAATTCTCCATTTTCATTCAGTGGCTTTTAGTATATTCACAGTATTGTACAACCATAACCACTGTCTAATTCCAAACCATCTTCATCACCCCACAAAGAAATCCTGTGACAATTAAGCAGACACTTGCCATATTTCCCTAGCCCCAGAAAGCCCCTCATGTTCTTTGTAAATTTGCCTGTTCTGAATGTTTCATGTAAATGGAATTATATAATGTATGGCCTTTTGTGTCTGGCTCCTTTTACTTGGCGTAATGTTGTCATGGGTTAGCCATGTTGTAGCATGTGTCAGTACCTCATTCCTTTCTATGACCAAATCATATCCCATTATTCTGTTTATCTATTCATGAATTGAAAGGCATTTGCTTTGTTTCCACATTTTGGCTGTTAGGAATGGTGCTTATGTGAGCACTTAACATATGAAATTTTGTGGGAGCATATGTTTTCACATGTGTATTTTTTTAATTTGAAT